GTGTGAGACAAAGACCGTGGGGAAAATGGGCTGCGGAAATCAGAGACCCACTGCGCCGTGTACGGGTGTGGCTGGGAACTTATGACACAGCAGAGGAAGCTGCCATGGTTTACGACAACGCCGCCATTCAACTACGGGGTCCTGATGCACTGACCAATTTCACCACCCAATCGCCCAAAAAATGCTCCGCCTACGACTCCGGCGAAGAGTCGAACAACAACATTTGCTCTCCGACCTCAGTCCTCCGGTGTCCATCGCCTCCAAACGAAGAGGCCCAATCTCAACTCCCCGGCGAGCCAGACAACTCGTCCGTATCAGAAAATTTCTCATCGGAGTTCTCAGACTTCTCGAGCTACTCCGACACCTTCATTCCGGACGACATTTTCGCCTTCGAATCTTCAATTCCGACATTGTTAGACGACGAGATAGGCCTACATCACCAAACCAACTTCTTCGGCGATGACAGTTTCTTCAACGGCGTGTTTCACAGTCCCATCGAAGAAACCGGGTTCGGGTTCGGGTTCGAGTACCCTACCCCCCCTACAGACGACTTCTTCCAAGACTTCAGCGACGTGTTCGGTTCGGATCCTCTCGTTGCCCTTTAAAGCCTCCCGTCGCCGTCCATGCCATTTGTCGGCGAAGATTTTGCTCCGGCCATGACTATCGATGTTTTATTTTATTTTAATATCGTTTTAAATTTAATTTTGTAATTTTTCAAGCATTAGTATTAAATATGAACAAGAGAAGGTCTCCGTCACGTTAACGGTGATGGACGAGTTTGTCTACGTGTTTAATTCCATTTGCCCGTTCCGTTTTTGCACCGTTTTTTCCAGAGCCACGTGTTTGTTCACGTGACCGGCACGCTGAGAAAAAGATAGAACCAGAGTTCAGAGCGTACAGAATCGCTCCAAATTTTTATTTTTTATTTTCTTACAAAAAATGAATACACGTGCTAGTGGACCAAGTGGGTGTGTACGTTAAATGACCTTTGTGATTTTGGGGGTTCATGTTTATGGGGATGTCAGTTTTATTTAATAATATAAATTAACGTTGAAAAGCAATATTTAATAGAGGAATTAGAAGCCATTATTCAATGTATATTCACCTGAAACATGAATTAGGAACTGTAAATACTAAATTAATAATAATAATAAAAAAAAACTCTTAATTATACTAGAAATTTAAATTGAACCATCGTAAACACGTACTAAGTTAAGTTCATATTGGTTCATCTGAAATGATTGTAGTTGTTCTACCTTAACCCAAGGAAGCTCAATGCATGAGAATAAAATAAACAATGAAATTGGTTAATACACTTGGAGAAAATAATAATAATAATAATGATAATAAAGGATAATTGCGATTCCCAAGGGAAATAGAGGCCTAGGGAGCGTAGGGAAGTTGATAATGGGTAGGCACAAAATTCCAAAGGTGGAGGAGGAGGAATGAAGGGAAGAGATTGAATGAATCAGAGCCGTACACGTGTGTATGTCAGGCTAACGGTTTTTCCAGTCCCATTTTCTCACCACTCAATTGGAGGGACCCCCACCACCTCTGCATGCTTCCTTCACCCTCTTCACCCTCCTTTTGTCTCCCTATGCCCACTTTTACTATTACAACCTTCCCTTTTGTCTTTTCTTGTTCTTTTTTCTTTTGGTAAGGTAAAAAAATTTCAACCATACAAAATTTTTATCTTTTTACTTTTTGGAAATTATTAATTTAATTTTTGTACTCTTATTATGATCAAAATATAGATATATTCTTACTTTATAAACACTAATTCAATCTCATATGCTTAGTCTCCTTATAATCACATTAATTAATGTAAATGGGAATATTTTAATTCTATTTTTTTTACCACCGTCAAAATAATTAAATTATCCACGTATGTTATGTTATGATTTAATATCCTATTAATCTTTCATTTGCTAAAAAGAAATAACGAAAAAGATGTCCAGCTGTTGGGCCCACTAAAGATATGGCCCATAACGTTGTGTTCGATACGTCGTCAACCATGTCGCGACGCATCGGATTGTGAAATTGATAGAGTCAAGTGGGCCCATCTGGGGACAATTTCTGATTCGGGCCCATATATCAGGCCCGCTTTAAATATATATATTACTTGTTCTGAAAAGCCTGCAATTAAAGTCAGACTTTTGACCAACTTGACCATTTTAAAGCGTGTGGGCTCGCACGTGCGGAACAGTTTCCTAGAAAATTTCGAGTTCGAACGTGGAATCTGCGAATACTTCCTTTTACCCCTTCAGCCGCAGCTTTGGTTTCCCTTTTTTTTTTTAATCCAAATGCGCCTTCCCATTGTTTTTGCGATTCCTTCATAAACAAGCTGCTGCAGCTAGCTCACTGGTTTTGAAATCCACTTACTGTTCCGCCATGGATGAAGCTCAAGCTCAGCCGGTTTGCGCTCAAGAAGCTCTCGATTTGCTCAATTGCGTTACGGAGTCTCCGTTCGATCAAGAGAAATGCTACCGTCTCCTTCATTCTTTGCGAGAATGCGTGCTCAGTAAGGTATTCGTTTTCTCTGTTCAATTTTTGCCCTAACTGTTCGTGTTTATTTCGATATTTGATAAACTCAATTGATGCTTTGTTTCTTTTCGGAATTTTCGAATTAGATCGCCTTGCACTCTGAATAGGATTTGCTGAGTATCGATTGATTTTTTTATTCCATGGAGTTCGATTAGGATTATATAATTTATTTTTCTAGGTTTAGATTAGGATTCGTGAAATCGAGGATTATGCTTGAAATGATAATCTAGTGTTCTGGAATGATCTTTGATTTCACAATTTAGGATATGGCAGGTAATTGTAATTCACTTCTCACTGCAACGCTGATTAAAATACTCAAACGCGTGGTTTCTTGATTTGATTATTTGTTCGGATTGGCTCGAACTTTTTGTCCTCAACATTCCAGGCACATAGATTCAGTATTATAAACGCTTAACACTTGCTTCACATTCATATTCATATTTGCTGTATAAGCAACAAAATGTAACTGTTCTTTTCTTTTCCTTGAATTTGTTGCTTCATCCTTCGCCAGAAAGTGAAAAAGTTCTCGTTGGCTGATGAAGAACGAGCAAAACCAAGTGGTAAAAGAGCACTTGAAGGAAGCAATTGAAGTTCCATTTGTAGGAGACATTGTCTGATTCGGGACTGAAATCTATCAAAATGACAGAATTCCTTCATGGAGCTAGTTCCAAACAAATCCAATAAATTTTGTTGAAGTTGAAAGATTGTCTAATTATTTTGGGAATCTTTGAAGTTTCTAGCAGATCGATCTCTGTTGTTTGTGAGCAATACATTATTCTGGGAAGCTTTTTTACTCTTTAGAAAAACATCATCCAACCACTCAACATTAGAGCATTGAGGTAAAAAAGAAATGATCATTGCATCAATTGACATTAAACTGCGAAGGAAAAGAAAACAAAAACCCCACTTTTTACATTGGAGCTCTCGGGATTGAATTTAATTATTTTGTGCACTAATTTTACAAACTGATTGGAAGCTCTGCTAAATGAATAATGTAAGTTAGCAGCAACGCCAACAACATCAGCACGTACGCTATTCCTTGGTCTAAGCTCGTCCCTGCAAATTTCCAAACATAGAAATTAATTACTAACATGTTCTTATTTTTTTTTTTTCTCAATAATGATGAAATGAACAAACCATCGCTAGCAATGGGAGGTTGGGCTGGAGACAAAGAAGGATCAGCGGCGGAGGCAGGGAAAAGCATAGCCAAAGCAAAAGCAACAGCGACTAAAACGCCATAAGCGACCTTATTATAAGCAACGACCTCCATTGTTATTGTTGTTATATAGTGTTCGACGACAATTAATCTCCCTCTCCGGAGAGGCGCGGGAGAGAGAGACTAACACACAAACTGAATTACTCAATCCCGAAGACGACGATGGCTGCTCTCCACGGCGTTGCAATGGCGGTGTGGCTTTCAACCAATCCAGGGTCTGGGTCTTATACCCGCTGCATGCTTCGAACGGCATGGCCGGAAATGTTGCAGCTACTGCATGTTTCCCCACACGACTCGGTCATTTTGAGGCCCTCATCCATCATTACTCATTTTCCCTTTTAGGCTTTGTTTGAATGAGTCCCTGTGGCTATGTTGAGGTGACCCTTCTTAATCCAATCGAATATATATGACAATGGTTTCAGTGTATTTGAGTCTATTTTTTAGTTTTTTTCCTTATTAATCCATAATATATATATTCCAAATATAAAGTTTCCTTAGCTTATCATCCATCTTTGAGACGATGGGACTTAAAATCTCACTTATTTTCTTCGATCGTGGAAGATACAATATTTTTTGTCAAGAATGATTTGATAAGAAAAGAATTATACTAATATAGTGTTATATCTTCGTTGCCCACGTAAACTGAAAAGCGTTAGCTAGTTGGTCAGCTAAGTTCTTTGGTGTTGGAGGAAATCGTTGGTTTCTTTTAGTCATTTATCTATAATCTGGGCAAACATTCTCGGGATAAGAAAGAACTAGGTGTTGATTTACTTGCCCGGAGCTCGCTTAACCGAATACACAAAATTGAGATCTCTCTTGTAAATATTTCGATCCTCGCTTCTTGAGAGAGCGGATTGAAAATTAACATTTTGCATAAAATTGAATGGGAATGGGAATGTTAATGCATAGGGATGCCGTGGATGAAAGGAAACAAGTAATTTTCATATTAAATGCAAAACCTACTCCAATACGGCTTCTTCTTTCCCCATTAATTAAGAGTTTCTTTTAATAACATCTCTACAAAATTAAATTTTATGATAACACTCACTGGTTTCATAAATTTTAAAACTTTAAAAATTTCTTGAATTTATTAGACACTTAAATATTTAATATTTAGAGACTAAATTTATAATTTAATCTATATTTTAAAACATTATACATAATTATATTATTCATTATTTTAAAATTTTGTTCATCGACACTTTCACATGTTCATGAATTCGAGAACGAGAAAGAATGATATAATAAGTAGTTTAACATTTTTGGATACTTTGCTTAGTTTTTTACAATATTTTTCAACATACAACGTAACGGTTCAAGTGCATGAGATCAAAACTTGAAGCCGTTCTTAACTTTTCACATGAACACACACTAAAAGGCAGTAGCTAACAATACATAATTAAACTTCGATCGGTTTAGGGTTTGAAGTTTTTAATAACGATCAATACATTTCAGAAGGCCAAAGAAAAGCTCCCATGGCGAACTTTCGCTTCTGGGCGACGTCTCCAGCCACCGGGAGGCCGTATTCTTTGAGAAGGCAGTCCAGTTTCCACTCCGCCATGCCCTCATAGTCACTCCTCTTGTACTTTGGGTAGTGAAGAGGCATCTGAAAATGATCGAACTGCTTGCTGATCACTCGCTGCTGTTGCTGCTGCTGCGGCTGCTCGGCCCCGATCACGGCGCACCGAGCAGCATCGACCCAGCTCATTATTCTGCTCATCGTTTGAATCTTTCACTTTGTCTTGCAAGTGCAAATGGTGGTGGAAAGGTTGGCTTTTTATAGCGCTCATGGGGTGGGAGAGGGGAGAATGAATGAATATTTGAGTGAAAATCATAACGTATTGAAAGATTTTGAAAGCATTCCACGTCCACTTCTAGTAGATATTGTCATCTTTGGACTTTTTCTTTCGGGCTTCCCCTCAAGATTTTTAAAACGCGTCTGCTAGGGAAAGGTCTCCATGTCCTTATAAAAGGTGTTTCGTTCTCCTCCCTGACCGATGTGGGATATCACAGTTGGGAAGGCTTAGAATTGAATGCAATCGTTAGTATTCATCGCCAAGAATAAATGCAAGATGGGATGATTGATGGTATGAAACATTTGAGGCCTCATATTTTGAAGCTCCTCTTCCCTTCACCACACAAATTGAACTAACTATTTGACTAGTTGCAGCCTTCTGTGTTGATTTGATGTTGAAAATGTTCATGGAAGTTGACAAGAGAGTTCTAGAGAGAGTAAGAGAACGCTCGCTAGAACTTTGTGGTTGAGACGCTCGTGTTGAAGTCCGAGAATTTATTCAGAGAAGTTGATAGGTTATTACGATTCTTTAACGACTTAAATCTCTACTCTTAATAGGTTGTATGAATGAACCAAGGCTATATCCGAGTGAGAAAGATCTCGAGAATAAGATAACTAAGAAAGACTTAAAAATGAAAGTTATTACTTTTTCAATAAGACCCACCTCTCTTTTCCGTGACTCAATCTTAGGAACTTCATAGTTAAGGGTGCATTACTTCGAGCAAGTCCATATTGAGTGACATCTCAGGCACTTTCGATAACTCAATTATATGAACTTCATAGTTAAATGTCATAGAGATGTTTTCATCCTCTTATAGAAATGTTTTGTTCCTCTCTCGATCAATGTGAGATCTCGCAATATGATTATGATCTAAACGTGCCTAATCTAGTTCTCTTCCCGCATGATCTAAAAAGAAATTGACAAAAACAATAAGAAGGTCGTGTAGTATTTTTCTTTAAAAGATTATTAATTATTATTTAAAAAACGAGTAGAATTAATTTTTGTACAAAAAAAAAAAATATATATATATATATATATATATTTAATAAGTATTTTTTATATATAAATTATGTTAATCAATTTTAATTTTTAACTTAAAACTCTAAATTTAAACAAATAACATAAATTCTAACTAATTTGGTCACAATTCAGGTTAAATTATATATTGTATGTATTTTTACCTTTTTAATGTTTTGTTTCTTTCAGTAAAAAAACACACACGCACACAGCCAATAAATTTACGGAGATTTTACCACCAATAACAGAATGAGCTGTCAGTCAATCTAATACCTTTTTTTTTCTAATAATTATAGTGTTTTTGATATTTATAACCAAACGACACCGTTTCGTCTCCACTATGTGCGGCAGTAGCGAACCAAAACGAGGCGTTTTGAATATTTGTATATTTATATATGTAAAAAGGAAATACGAAAGCCGCGGGAACACGTACTATAAGTGCGTGCAAATAAAACGGAATTTCAACGGCCACGCCTCCATTTTTCTCCGACAACACTTATTCCCCCTAAAAAAAACTGCTTCTTCTTCTTCTTCGTTCTTTGTTCTTCTGATTTTGATTCTTTGATTTCATTAATTTCGTCCAATTTGTCGTTACAGTATCCGACGAGAAACTGCATCTTGAGATTTCCGTTGTGTTTTTCCCCTCGGTTTCGTAGCCGTTTTGTCAATGTAATTACACCGTTCATTCATCAAAAACCCCCCACCAGGTGTTCGATGTTTTGCCCCAATGAGGATTTGATTCTCGAATTGGGGTTTCTTCGTTGTTTCTTGCTTGTGATTCCAATTTCGTTGCTTTTGGATGGTTGATTCTGCAATTACAGGGGATTTTTTAACTGAAAGGTATTGCGTTTTCTTTTGATTGTTGAGATTTTGTGGAGTTCTTGACTGTTCTTCATTTAATTCTGGGGTTTGATCATTTTGCTTGATAATAGAGGTCGGTTGATTGTTGTTTTGGAATTTTGGGATTTCTGGGATTTCTTCCCTCTGCTTATAGCTTCTCATTGTCGTGTGGTTGTATCCGTAGGATTTTAATTGTGGTTTGGGAGGCGGCTTTGTGTGATTTGGGGTGATCTCTTTAACGGAATCTTTCTCCCTGAGCCGGGATGGAACAATTCCGGCGCATCGGAGAGGTATTGGGAAGCTTAAAGGCTCTTATGGTGTTGCAAGATGATATTCAATTCAACCGGCGTCAATGCTGTTTACTGTATGATTTGTTTAGTTTGGCTTTTGATACCATTGCTGGAGAGATAAGGGATAATTTGAAGGTTGAAGAGAAGAACACCAAATGGAAAGCTCTTGAACAGCCTTTGAGGGAACTTCATAAGGTTTTCAAAGAAGGGGAGCTTTACATTAAACACAGCCTAGATTCCAAAGACTGGTGGGCTAAACTGATCAGCTTCCATCAAAACAAGGACTGTATTGAATTCCACATCCACAACTTGCTTTCCTGCTTTCCTGCTGTCATTGAAGCGATCGAGACGGCCGGAGAAATATCGGGGCTCGATCAGGACGAGATGCAGAAGAGAAGGCTTATACTTGTAAGGAAATATGACATGGAATGGAATGACCTCAAACTGTTCCATTGGAGATATGGGAAACAGTATTTGGTCCCTCGAGAAATACGTAACCGATTGCTGTGTGTTTGGAGAGAAGATCGATGGCTGATGGCTGAAGCACTCAAGGAGAAGATCAGTTCATTGGGAGCAGCTGGTTCAAAGAATGAGCAGCGGCTTGGGGAATTCTTGATAAAGAAATTGAACAACTCGGAGCCATTGAATGCAAAGCTCTTCCCGAGTTCAATTTTGTTAGGAACAAAGGATTATCAGGTGAGGAGACGGCTGGAAGGAGGGCAGTACAAGGAAGTCCAATGGTTCGGGGAGAGCTTTGGACTGAGACAGTTCATTGCAGAAACCGAACAAACAAATTCTGAGGTTCAAACTCTTTTATCACTTTCACATCCTAATATTTTGCAATGCCTTTGTGGGTTTTTGGATGATGAGAAGAAGGAGTTCTTTCTTATAATGGATATGGTTTCCAAGGATCTTTCTTCCTATATGAAGGATAATAATGGAGCCAGGAGGAAGATCTTGTTTCCTCTCCATGTTTCTGTTGATATCATGCTTCAAATTGCAAGAGGCATGGAATACCTTCACTCCCAATTGATGTATCATGGAGATTTGAACCCTTCCAATGTGTTTATGAAGCCAAGAAACTCCTCAGAAGGCTCTTATCTCGTGAAAGTTGCTGGCTTTGGTTTACCATCAGTCAAGAATTCTTCTCCCAGAAACTCAACGAACCAAATAGAAACCGACCCTTTCATCTGGCATGCCCCAGAAGTCATGGCAGAGCAAGAACAAAATGATCCAGGAACAGTTACTTCTTTCAAGAAGACAGAGAAAGCAGATGTTTACAGCTATGGAATGCTTTGTTTTGAGCTTTTGACTGGAAAAGTTCCATTTGAAGATGGTCATTTACAAGGGGAGAAGATGAGCCGTAATATCAGAGCGGGAGAGAGACCCCTTTTCCCATTTCCAACTCCCAAATATTTGGTGAACATTACTAAAAGATGTTGGCATTCTGACCCTTCTCAGAGGCCGTCTTTCTCTTCCATTTGTCGAATTCTTCGTCAGGTGAAGAAATTCATTGCCATGACGAACCCAGAAAGCAATGAGCTCGAGCTGCAAACGCCTAACGTTGATTACTGCGACGTTGAAGCAGGGGTTGCAAGGAAGTTCTGCTTAGATGGGGTTGGAGATTTGTGTTCTGTTTCATATATTCCATTCCAAATGTTTGCTCATAGACTTGCAGAGAAGGAGAAGACGAGTCCAAGCAAAGCCAAGGCATGGGACTCTGCAAGTGATGCGGTCTCCATTAGCAAGGATGATTGGGCATCCATTTGCAGAGATGACACAGCTTCTGTAGTAGAAGATCCATTCACCACCATCCCTGCAAGTGACACAAGATCCACTTTTTCTGATAGAAGATCTGTTTATTCAGAAGCTCCACCCAAGAAAATGGGAACCATGAGGAAACATCCAGACACAAAAATCAGAAAAGGCATAGGTAAAACTTTAGTTTCCGTTTGTTCATTACTTTATGTTGCAGACAGATTGGCTATAACTGAAGGTTGTGATTGGTTTTACTCAGGGACCCCAGAAACAAAAGCACGAGTGACTCCACGAACGCCTTCACGAATAACTTCACGACCTCGAGACTTGAAGACAAATAGAGATGTCCTGCTGCCATTTTCGAGCCCTCTGAGTAAGGGAAGAAGAAGACCAAATGGTCATGTCTCAGACTCAGAAGCTCGCTAGCTTTCTGAGATGTCCTGCTCGCTAGCTTTTCTTGCCTCGCTAGCTTTTCTTACAGAAATAGTGTTAGCATTGAGTTCTTGTTAGCTTCGTGTAATTAAACTCTGTAGTTTGTGGACATCTCAGAAAGAATAGCAGATGATTCTGTTTCTATTTCATTTTCTTCAAATTTTGGTTCTTTCAGCCGCCAGGTTTAACATTGTGCAGACAGCCGATGCTCCCAGGTTCTTGAAACAGAGAATGATCATTACATCTTTAGTGTTGCAGTTTTATCTTAAATTTAAACAAGTATTGCAATCTTCAATTTATACGTACTTTTATTTGAAGAATTGTAAAATAAAAACATATTTTCATCTAAATTTAAGAATTACGAAATAGAAAGCGAAATCGATAAATTTTCACAGAGATACAACACGAGAGAAAAGTTTAGAACTGAATTTTCTTCAGATTTGTGAATGAACATAAGTTAATTAGCTGTTGAACAAAAATAAAAATTACCATTCAAGGTTAAATATTTGAATCCTCAATCCAGAATGTGGAACTAAAGAAAATACATTTCACCATGGCATAAGAGAAGGATTTCCAAAGATTTGCAACCAATCTGCTTCTTTTGCAGCTTTTATAACTAGCTGTTGGGTAAAATTACAATCACGAAAAGAATCGAATAAATTATCGGTTAGAAGAAGTGTAGAGGCTTTAGACACATATTTCTTTTTAATATATACAGTCACTAAAAGATCTGAGGCAGCTTTTCAACCATATGATTCCATATAATGAATCAATAGCTCAACTTATATAACTTAATAAGAAGAGGGAGATTCGGTGGAAGAAGGGCAATAAGAGATGAAAATGTAAATAACTGTTACCATTCTTATACCTATTCTCAGAATTGGGCTTCGGATATTCTGTCAAATTCACGAGCTGTAAAGCGACTGAAGATGACCACAATGGTCAAGTTAATCTCAGAAAATGAGTTTTCACATTCAAACCATTTGCAGTACTTTTATACACCCACTTGAATTGGCTGCAACAACCATGTCGGATTTTCCTCTCCAGCATACACTCGAAACAAACTGTCCATTGTCGTCCTCGGTCTCTTTTCCAGAAACGGGGTCAATAGAACCAAACTTATAGGAAGTCATTGGCATGGGCAGAGATCTATGGTAGGCATATACCTGAAAAAGAGTTCAAAATATTTAAACCATTAAAGAGATGTCGTCACGGGAAGGAGTTTATTCCACTTGTTCTCAATAGCAATATTGTATCTGAGAAAGATAAAGAACATACTTCATTTGTTTCTGAACCACAAGCAATGTAGCTATCGGAAACAGATAAACCCACGAAATTCTAGCAATGGAGAAGATCAAAGAATTCAGTAAGTTGAAAAACAAATAGAATGAAGATGCGAGTTCTTTAAGCTTCGGTATATTCTTAATCCAGAAGGGGTCATAGAGAAAAGGAGAAACCTTTTCATTAGTGTGACCATTGAGAGTTAAACTGCAAGCATTGGTAGACAAGCCAGTAGGATTGGTTCTATTAAGATCCCATAGCTTCAACGTGTTGTCAGTGGATGCAGATACAAGGGTCTCCGAGTCCAAGAATTTCACATAGCTTACAGCTTTCTCATGGCCGCCCAATACACACCAGGGGGCTTTAGTATTTCGTAGATCGAAGCAATAGGTTCTGTAATCGGCAGACCCAAAAGCAAGCATATGAGTTGAGTGAGCAGAAAACTGAACGCAGCAGACATTTGCAATGTTCCTGATTGTGCCCAAAGAGTTCTTCTGCAGTAAAACAATGCACAATGATCAAGTAGTTCGACTTCAACTAGATTTTATAAGTAACAAAGTAGAGTGATAAGTCCAAGTGTTCTAAAAAATAAAAAAAGTGATTCTTTTTCAAACAAAGGATCTATCCAGAAGGAAAAAGATTACCCTAGAAGAGCTTAATTTGAACATTAATGATGATCTTAAAAAGAATGGAGCTCCTCATGTACAAACCCTTTTAATAAAATAAAGAAATTATGAGCTTGGGCGTTGAATTTCAAATATGAAAGTAAAGCAGAACGGGAAAGAAACGGAAAGAAAAATAATCCATGGGGTAAGAGAGGAGGAGAATGGATGTGAGAGAGAGAGAGAGAGCATGCCTCACTAATGCTCCAAAGTTTTACAGCACAATCATCACTTCCACTGGCCAACTTTGTAGGATGCACTTTTGAAAAGTCAACAGACCACGCCCTCTTCTCATGTTCTTTGAATTGAGAAACCTCTTGACCAACAGTTGCATCCCATAGCTGGAAATCCATTCAAGAAAATGGAATTGTGAGTGATACCCAAAATCAAACAAAAAATATATATAAGAATAAGAGTTAAAAAAATGGAGAAGAAGTCTATATCTGACAGCACATACTGATCAGTATAAGCATTTTCAGATAATAAAACTAAGAAGAAAGTACTAGCAGAAAATCATGAGGGTTAAATCACTAAAACGTAACAAGAAACTTCTATGGACCAACAACACTTCAGCCTTAAAATTCAACAAAATCCAATAACCAAGGCATAACAAGAAAGAGACAGAGGCCATGTCTTCGGAATTTCCATTTTTCGTAACCATGCAGGAAACATACCTTAACAACACCATCATAATCAGTAGAAGCCAGATAGTTCCTGATGTAGCTATTCCAGCAAACGCAGCTAAGCTTTGATCTATTAAACATTTCAACTGCGGGATAGTGAATATCTACTGAGTCGCTAAAGACTGAATTAAAGTCAAAAATCCTTATTTTCTTTGACACTCCAGCAGCAGCAAAATAGTCCTCGTCCCGATCAAAACTCAAGGAGCAGATTACATTTGAGGAACTGTTAAAATCACCACTTCTCAGTACCCCACGTACTTGAAACTTGCTATAACGAGAATACTTGCAAAACCCGTCAAAAAAGGCACCAAGACGATCACCATGAGTCCTTTCATCATCTTTTTGTGGTAGATAACAGTTTTCACGAGTTCTAAGTAAATCTATATCTGTCCGAACTGCTGAATCATTCTCAGAAGAATCTACTTTTGATCTCATGGAAAAATAAGCACTTTCAAGCTGGATTATATTTTTTTCTATTCTCTCTTCATTGATATGTGATATTTTAGATACCACAGAGCGCACATCTGAATTCTGATATCCTCCATGAAACACGAAATCATCCCTTCCATCCACTGTACTAGACAAGCCAGATTTAACCGAGGGTTCCGTGGACCTGTGCCTTTTGTTGACTTCTTCAATATCTGATTCTAAATGCCGAATTTCCTCCGCCAACTTTGCGGCTTGTTTCTGCTTTTGTTCATTCATCGATGTGAGAAACTGCAATAATAACTCTGATTCAGCATCTTCCTCATCAATAGATGTTGAAAGCTCTACTGGCGGAGAATTTGTCATTCCATTAATTAGTTCTGATTGTAAAATTTCCCTGGTCATCCAGAAATTTCAAAAAATCAGGTTATGTTACATATATGAACAATTAATCGATACCACAAACAAAGAAACCAGTTAACCACCAGTAGATGTAGCCAAACGATATTATTATAAATCCAGTTAAATTACTTTTTCCATTCAAGTATTTTTTTTTTTTTTTTAACCATTCAATTTCATCTCCATACCTTAAATTTTGTTCCTATATTTCATTTCTAACAGTGGTTCTTACCATCGACAGCTGATGTTACTTTTGACAAAAAATTTCCATAGCACTGCCAACAACCTTAAACCATCATAAAGTACACAATCCAATCCGCCCTCTTTCCCCTTTTACTTTCCTCCACCAGCAATAGTAGATTAGAAAATTTGGCCTAATTCTGAATCCATCTGGACCCCAATACATTCAAAATTCTTACTATCTATCTACACTCTAATTTGTCCAATCACTGCCAGGTCACTAATTAAAATATTAGCCTTAATAGATAATCCATCAGAAAACTGTCACCCATCACATCTTGATAAACTTCCTGTCACATCCACAATCTGTAAACCTTCATTAATTAATGATTGGAATGAACTACAGGGATGAAACAGAAATAATGGTCGAAGAATATGGACAAAAATTTTAAATTATGCAACAAATTATAAGCGAGCACCAAAATGAATCAGATGCTAAATGAGAATCCATGAGTTGTGAAAACAAAAAACCTCTAATCCCCTGACCTGAAATAAATTTCTATTGTCCTCTTATACACAAGGTTGAAACAATATACTCAATTTTCAGGTCAAAGTGTAAATAAAAATCCCACCTCAAGAACCAACGATCGGATAGAGCACAATAGATTAAAAAGAAATGATTGTCATAGACACAAAACTTCATCTCTTCTCAAATAGTTTCTCATTAATGGATGAATATTTGTTGCCTGGGGTTAGAAAGATCGAGTTGGATGTAACAAAAAATATACAACTTCACAGATATTCAAAAATCAGAACCAAAAGGACAATTAGAGGAATAATGATCATGCTTGTCAAAAGAGAGTGACAACCCAAATTAATGCATTTGAGTAATTATATATGATCTAAGATATGTCAACTTGTCCTTACCTAGATTGCATGTCAATGTGATAACTGACAAGCTTCCAGCGCATCTACACTTCGTATGATCTATTAATCCCTTTTCAGCCAAAACGACTAATACTAAATCATGAATTGACAGTCTTAAACGAGTAAGCATTTATATTTAACATCTAATGTTCATTCAAACACTAAGATTGGTGATCTGGGGAAGACTACAGTTCATTATTACCTTGTTGTCGGACGAGAAGCAGGTTCAGGATGAAGTAGCCAAAGACAAAACCCAACTTCCTTCAAATTATCTGCTAGAAAGTTAGGAGGAAGAATCCTATCACGCAAATTTGACATTGCAGCAGCAAGTGTGCCATCAGATTCAAACTTTCCAAGTAACTGAAAGAAATAAAGTACTTTAAGGGTCACTTTCAGGGCCGCTAGAAAGTAATAAGGCAGGAAACGACCCCCCCCCCCCCCCCCCCCCCCCCC